AGAGGAATATCTGTGAAAGAATTACGGATTTTGAGATAAGGAATGCACAAATTGGACAGGCACTGTGATAGATATATAGGGACACAATTCCGCGTGAAATAGACTCAACAGAAAGCTGAACTACTTACCTCACTCTGTGGCATAAATACAAATATATACATGTATATTTTTTAGAACTGTGGTAAATTGTGGAGTTGAAATGCTTTGTGGCATGTATGACATTGCAGTTGTCATCACAGCATTATAATGATCTTGTTAAGACAGTGTTGTAGGCAAGTACATTTCATGACAACGAGTACGAGTACTTTTCCGTGAGTACGAGTATCTTGCCGTCAGTGGCACGCCCCCCCCCCCCGCCTTTGTCCGTGTCCCTCCCCCCGTCCCCCCGGTCCCCCCCCCCCCTTTTGAAATAAACAGTTTATGTCATATGCCTTCAGGTGCTCCCTTGAAAAATGTGTGCACCCCAAGCTGCCTCCTCAGAATTTCAACCCTATAGTTACGCCACTGCTTCGCCATGAGTACGAGTACGAGTAGGGCCTGCAGGTTTTTTTATGAGTTCGAGTACTGCTACATTTACAGGAGTACAAGTACATTTACTACATAACTGAATACTGTAATTAAGAAATTGCTTCACATGTAATTATGTTCCCAAGGACTTACTGTTGTCGTATTTGGCATTTAACATTTACAAAATTCTACCTAACAATAGAACGAGTATGTTGCAAGTACGAGTACCGGGTACTTTGCCATGAGTTTAAGTACGAGTACGAGTACAAGTGTTTTGTTCTTTGCGAGTACATTCTCACTGTGGTATGATGTGATGCTGTTAAAAGTCCTTGCGACTGAAGATATGTTTTGCTGCTTTTTTTGTATACACATTTTTGCTCTAGCACTGTGGTGTTTTGCGGTTTCAAATGGGGTAAGAATTGAACTGGAAAAGCCTTGGCGCAACTGATTTTTTTAGACGACAAATGTAATGCAAGGTTAAGTTTCACTGCTGGCAAAACCGCCCGGTTCGAGTGACTTTTACGTTAGGAAAGAATGCGAAATTAAACGAGCGTAACTTTAGGTAGAACCCTGCAGTACCCGGTTAAACCTCATAAAACCCCATAAAACCTCATAATACCCCATAAAACCTCATAAACCCCATAAAACCTCATAAACCCCATAAAACCTCATAAACCCCACAAAACCTCATAAAACCCCATTAAACCTCATAAAACCCCATAAAACCTCATAAAACCCATAAAACCTCAAGGTAAACCTCCAGTTACCGCCTGTTGAGTATTGCATTCTCCCCTTACCGAGTTTACACGTCTTGGATCGGTAAATTGGAAGAACTACCTTCCACGATAACTACTGTACTTTTTTTTGTTAAAAGACAAGTCAAACCTGCTCCCCAGAAAAAAAACCCGCACAGACCTGTAGTTAACCCCACAGATATCTCCGAGGAAATCGGTGCATTTGACACTAAAACCTTACACAGTGCTTGATGGAGTGTGGTACTTGCTGCGACTGCGAATTTGCAGGGGAAGAAATCTCTTGTCTAATTAAAATGTTAGCCATTTTGTAACGGACGCTCCACAAACCAATGACGTCTGCGCCCATTGACCACTGCAAACCAGAATATTGCCCACCTCCATCAGTATTCGTTAATTTTCTCCAGATTACTCACAGGATTATTATTTTAACGCAGTACTTGCGTTTACCCCGCTTGCAATTCGCAACCTTGGTTTGTAGCGGGAACGTGAGCAAGCTCTACCTTCGACGGTTTCGAACAATGAGACCTTGGTGACGTCAACGTTAATTGTACGCGCCGTGCAGCCTCTAAAGGTCGCGAAACTAAGAAGGGGGATTCGAAATTGCACATCACGTGAACTTCAAGCAAATTCGTCAAGCTCCGCTGGAACAGATAGGGCGCGAATGAAGGCAAAGCCCGTGGACCCAATTTCCATGGAGCTATTTTTAGCAGAAAAATTTGCTCATCAAATTTATGGGCTAAGCAAAAACTAGCCGAGAACAAGTCTCAAACACTATACGCTGCATGACATTTATTATTAATGTATGATAAATTAAACCAAGGATTCCTCAAAAGCGCCCACGGCACTGTAGCTCGCAAGCCTGAAGAAACCTGTAGAGAGGAGACAATGGGATGAAATTACAGTTTTAGAGATGTGAGGAAAACCCCTGAAGATTATTCTGGGGAAAACACATGGAATCAGGTAGGGACTGCATGGAAACCCAATCCACATGTTGGCTCAGGCGAGATTCGAACCCAGGTCACAGCGGTGGAAGGCGATGATAGTGCCGCTACGCCAACCTGACTCCCCATAATTATAGCCCGGTAGGCTACTTTTGATAATTTCTTTTCCCGACAGTTTCTGTTGTTGTCATCAGTAACAACATGAAATTGGCCCTTGGCCTTTCGAAGCAGAGACAAGGGAGGCAAACTGTTCTCCTACCCCCATCCCACCCCACCCCATCCCACCCTACCCCATGCCACCCCACCCCCGATGGTTATACGCCACTGTCTCTCCATTGTGTAACATAAATGCACATTCATAATGTGCACATGTGAAATTAATCAGTGTCTCGTATAAAAGAAGAGGGGAAAAAATGTACCCTTGAAAGCATGCAGCGTTGACCTTCGTGTTCAACCATGGGAGAAATTATTATCGTTGGCTGCATGTCATGTTGAACAGGATGAAATGTGGCTATTTATTTCTTTTCGTAAGCATTGAGGCAGTATTTAAATTAGGCCATGCCCATAGAAGACGAACCTCCTCCATTCAGTAGCGGAATTAGGGGCGGGGTGGGGGTCGCAGCCCCCCCCCCCCCCTCCCCCGTTCAGCCGCTGACTAATGTTATGAAACTAGTAAAATGGGGCCAAAATAATAAATGAAAATTTGCTAAAGTTCCTAAATTTATTCTCAAATTGCCTTAGAATGCAGGAGAAAGCAACGTAGATTTCTCTCGAAATTTCCCCAGGGGCAAGTCCCCGACCCGTACCCCCGGACCCCCTATAGCAATGCGTGCCTACGGTACGGCTTAACTGAACCCCCCCCCCCCTCCACCTTCATATCAACCCCACCCCCGTTTCATGAAAGCTAGATCCGCCTCTGTCCATTATGTATGACTTAGGCATGAATTCTCGCCAAGTGAACTTTACAGGGTTTGTGGCAAACCATATGTGGCAAACCATATGTTATTGCTAATTAACTGGTCTTGAACGAGAAATACAGATATAAGGAAGGTACCCAGTTACTGAAAAAAAATCTTTTACATCTGAAATTGTCTTGAATCTTCTGAACTTTTTCATGAAAGTCAAATATGTGTGGGGCTAAGCTAATGATGGAACGGGCATATTGACGTACGATGTAACAGATTGACATCGAAAATATGAATTTGGGTTTGAAAATAGGAAATCCTTCCCAGAAAAAAAACATTGTCTTTATCAGAAAGAGGGGTCTTAAATTATGGGGAAAAAACCCTTTAAATTGGAGTTGATTTCAAGTACTGTTTGTTGCATAATATGAAGATTGGGATCATCAGTATTACGCAACCCGAAGTAGACGGTTTCCGTAGCGTCAAATCGTGTAAGTAACTCGAGGAGAAAATTCTGAAACATAGACCTACATTACTTTCTTTTTTTTATTGGCCGATACAATCTTCCCGGGAGCAACTTTAATACCAAGGTCGTCTCCTTCAAATGTCTTCTTCTTTTTTTCGACTGCAACGCTGCAGACACAAGAGCCCTTTGGTGACCCAGTTTGGCCGTGTGCCTCTTTCATTATCTCAGAGGTATGGCCAGGCATCTGCCTGCCTTCGTCCAGATCCCAATGATTCGTCTAAAAGACTATAGGAGTAACGAATATGCCCCCAGCAGATCAGTTTGGCAGGGAGGAAGATACGCTACATACAGCGCGCTGCTGCACGGTGATAATGTGGCGGAGTCGCTGCCAATATAACGGTTGGATGATGCCGAGATTGCGCGGTCATTTCAAGCAAGCGCAAATATGACTACGGGAAATGTCACTATTTCACTTTGACAAGATCAGTGATTTTTTTCTGAGACAGAGTTTTACTCATACCGCTACATTTCACATGCTCATGTCGTCTGCGCTTTCTACTGTCGTCTGCGCTTTCTACCTTATACTCTCTTGTGTTTTGTGAGTCGTATAAACTTCAGTTAGTAGTGAATTGCTCGTTTTAATCGTTTGTGCTTTCCTGTGTTTCTTGTCTCTTGTTTGGTTTAACCCGCCCGCCTGTTCATCCTCTTCTCAGGCAGCCTTCATTCTTCCCATGGTTCAATCCATTCTTTAGCAAACCCTCACCTATTACAAAAAAAATAATCAAGTTATATGTGCCTATTGATTACCATTTTTGAGAATTTGTACTTATACAGACTCACCGCATTATATTTGTGACCGGGGCTGAATTATCAATGCAGGAGGGTCTGGGACCAAGGTTTTTGGGAGGCTCAACACAACACGAAAGACTGGCTTCTTAAACCGAATGAATTGATGCAGTGGGATATGTCAGTGACATGAATTACGTAATCGTTCTGCATGGACAAAATTTTAAGATAATTTGAACGTTAAAAATATTCGCCGAGTTGCCATTTTATTCTTAGCTGTGCAACAACGTTTCCACAATTTTTTTTTTTACGAGCGAGACGGAATGTTTGTAGGTCCCCAAAAAGTTGGAGGTCCTAGACCCGAGCCTTTTGGGATCGTGCCATAGTCTGCTATAAACTGCTCCAAGGACCAATTTGGGGGCGCTATAGGCAAAGAAGCACATGGATTTACGTAACTGCTCAGCAAAACAGGATACCAGCCAAAATACCGATAGCCTAAGATGTATTTGTGGTTCCCAGCTCGTTTTGCTTAGCATGTTAGTTGGCTACGCCAGAGTTTCTGCTTAACAGGTCCATCTCTCTTTTGACCCTGTTGACCAATATTGATCATACATCTTACTTTCTCATCTCCGTTGTCCTACAGCACCCGCATTTCGTTCCATGCTGGTTGAGGCGCCGGAGAGCATGAGGGAGTCGTCTCACCAAGCGGCCAGGGATCCGCCGTCTGTGTCCTCCACCCACCAGGTGACGGAGGGCGCACAGGAGCGGCCGGGCACGCGTGGCTCCAGGGCCTGCTGTTTCTGCTGGTGCTGCTGCTGCAGTTGCTCGTGGTAATCAATAACCAACTCTGTGTTGTTCCCCCACACCCACCCACCCCGGCCTGACCCCCACTCCTGCCCCAGCCCCTGCAGTCCATGGTTGCATGTGTGTTTTGCTTGCATACTGGATACAGTGGCTAGAAAAAAACTGAGGAAGGAGTCACTTTTTAAACTGACAGGATAATGTGTCGTAGGCTAAAATCATTTGGGTGCCATCTTTGTGGTACAGTGTATACAAATCCGGCATCTAATCTTGATCCTGCCCTGTAGTCATCAGCAACAGTACAGTTATACAGGGTGAGTCAAAAAACCGAAACCCAAATGTCGGGACTATTGTTTTATTGAAGTTCTACATGTAGCAATTTCAAAATCTAGGATATGAAAGCCCAATTCATAAGCTTTCTTTCAGTACAAGAATCAGTCAAAACACTTCTGTACTTTTTAAGTTACGGAATTTTAAACACAACCACCGTTTGAAGGTTCTGTCCACGGATCACAAAAAAGGTATGCGTTCTTTCAGCAAAACGAAAACAATTCACACACATTCCTATGTAGTTTCTTTTCGTTTTGCTGAAAGAACACCGAACTTTTCTGTCATCCGTGGACAAATCCTTAAAACGGTGGTAGTGTTTAAAATTCCGTAACTTGAAAAGTACATGAGCGATTGTAATGATTCTTGTACTAAAAGAAAGCTTAGGAATTGGGCTTACATATCCTAGATTTTAAAAATGCTACATGCAGAACTTCCCTAAAACAATGGTCGCAACATTTGGGTTTCATTTTATTTTTTTCTCACTCTCTACTTTGCGGCCGCCATATTTTTTGGCCGTAAGAGTGACTCGTGGTGGCTTCATTTCTTCCTGCATGGCCATAGGAGCGTGCGCAGTCCAGATTCAATAGAGATCACTGGGTGGAGGGTAGCGCGAATGAAGGATGGGAGGAGTGTACCCGTCATAACTCGTCATAACCGAAAAGTCTGACCTCAGAATTTTAAAGGAGAAACTTCCGTTGCTAAGTAAATTTTAGGCCGAGTACCAGTCAATAACATTACATTAAATTTTATCTGCAGCCTTTTGTTGTTTTGGCTAATAATTCTTTGTGAAATGGGCCCTAGACTACGCTAGTTATGGTAAATAATCTGAAGGTGTGAACACACTGACCGGCGGCCTCTACGGGTTGAGGAATCCCGTGGGAAAAAAACCCAATAATTCCAGAATTGGACAGGACACTAAGTGACACTGATGTAAATGCCAGGTTTAAGCAATGCAACCAACCTTGGTATGCCAATCTTAACTAGTTCAATCATCGTCAAATAGTTAAACTGGAGTTAGCGTATAGTTCTTGGTTGATCTTAATTTATGCTAATGAAGGAGTGTACCCACGAGCAACTATCAAAATTATCCGATCGGGTTTTCCTTTGAAGCAATCATATCCATGTCTTCTTGAGTCCGAACATGGACAGGTTGCGATCTTTTGCTCATATTGTCAAATTGGCATATAGCGGACCTTTAAACTCTAATAGTATCTCTCTTTTTCCTACTTTGTATAAACATGCCACTGCATTTCGACCGCTTAACCTGAATTTCGAAAAGTTCATGTGCCCCGTTCTCGTATCTGATCAGTTCAGCTTGCTATAGTGCTAGTGGCAAATCGAATGTCATGACTTTTGTCCCTTTTACAGTCTTGTTTATGGCAAGCCAGATTCGCACCTCTGTGCAGCTGCGATATCGTAATCGCTGGGCATAAGATAAAAGTACTTGTCGTCTGATACAGAAGTCAAAATGACTTTTGCGGCGATTTGATTGGCGAAATGTAAACTCCAACTTTGCCAAGGAGCTCAAAGTACAAAGACGAATTCGGTACCGTCAACAATCTAGGCAATGTAGAATTCTAAAATACGTAGGCACTTGGTCGTGTGCTGTATATTCGCTAGTCACAACAAGGTCGACGATTCGTTGCTTCTACGGCAGAAAGAAAGAAATATAAGTCTTCAATCTACGTGGAGTAGGCCTAGTGCATGTGGGCGTTGATGTCCTTGATTTGAATTACCGTGCGATTGTCTGGCCATAGGTCTTCTCAAAACATGTCGGATCTTGCGTCACAAGAAAGCGGCGATATCGAAAATACTGTTGACGGGCAAGAGTGAGTATTTGGTGGTTTTTGCACGGTATCTGTAATTGGAACAAAATGCGAGACTTAAACCAAACAACGACCCCGTTCCTCAACGTCACTGTGAGGGTTACCAATATATTACGTAAGAACATTCAATCAGACGTAACTTACCAGCCTGTATCTCACAAACGTGAAATGTCCCATTGGAACTCGAACTAGTTCTGGCCCCTCGTAAACGAATCGTTTTTATAACACATGAGAAGTTGTTTTCTCATCCTCTTGGGAAGTTGATACATGGTTAGTGCGGCATCGGATGCAAGCAGGTTGCACATGTAAAGATGATATTAATTGGAGTCAATCTCTCTCTTTCTTTCTCTGGTTATCCGTCTTAAGTTTGAGCATGAAGAACACAGCCAAGGAGGAGTCGGGAGGTGGGTCCATGGAATTGGCCAATGGAGATGCCAATGATAAGTAAGTATGCGGAGTCTTTATATATATCAAACCAATGCTTCGTCTCTGTCTTGTTGTGCTTCGGCCTTCAGACTAATGACTTAAGACCTCGAAACATTTTGATAAACATTTTGCTCATCAGACTTTACTCATTATGGCCTCACTTTCGGTCGGACAAACATCAAACCTCTCACTCGAAGCCAGAGATAGGAGTATTTCTTATTGGTTCCTATTAATAGTAAACACGTCACAATGATCCTTGAGCCCGAGATGCAGAAGAATTATAGACGAGATTTAGAAACTGGCCCTTTTGCATGCTGCGAGGTGCAATCACAGTGCCTACCAAGGTGGAGTGCCGACGGTGCCTCGTGGTCTGGAGCACTGATCTTGTGGTCTGCGGGTAATTCTGCAGGTTGTGGGTTCGAGTCCAGCCTGGGGTCGTTGTCACTCATTGTGTCTCCCCACCCAGGAGTAAATAAATGGTATACCTGTCAGGGCAGAGATGGTTATATTTTATTGATTCTAGCTGCCTTGCGCCGAATTGGCTGCATCGAGCTGTATACTTCCAAAGGGGGCAGAGATTGTAAATTGTATTTGGAATGTTTCATTGGGTAATAATAAATCGCTTTGATCTTAGTTACCCGTTTTTGTTATTATTACCTTAAGATAACTTAAGACCCAATTTCATAAAGCAACCAATTAGAAAATATCTCTGAGCGAAAATACGTTCTGAGAGCAAAAATCTGCAAAGAATCTGCCATAAGCCATTCACATCGCTTGCAATTTAGGATGTTGACTGGTGTTTTCTAAAAAAAATTATATATGGGGAGTAACTATCGATAGCTGGAAGCTTCATGAAAGCTACCCTTGACCATAGAGTTGTGTTTATCCTCAAAAACCACAAGAAAGTTCGGAGGAAAAGACAATAGAGATAATTAGTGGCACTATAATGTTCTTAGCAGGTTGACGAACTATTTGGCATCAGCACTACGATGCAATAGTAGCAAGATCGAAAACATTTTTTCATGTGTGGGAATTGGGTGGAGTTGCGGCACTGACGAATAAGGAATTTAAACTTTTTGTACTAACTGGTACGTCTTTCGCTTTTTTTCATGCTCAGTCCTACCATGGAGGAAATAAGAGTTTGGTCACACTCATTCGATGCAATGATGAGAAGTGCAAGTAAGTGATACTTGAATTTGCACGTAAATTGTATATTTCGAGTTGTAATGGACACAAAGGACCAGCTGCGTATAGTTAGTCAATGGTCTGGTTGCCTTTCAAGCTACTAGATTAACTATAATTAGCTGGTTGGTTACTACCCTGGTTAGTTGGTTAGCAACTGGCATGACCAGCTGCATCGCTAGTCACGTCTGGTTGGCTATCAAGCTGTTGGCTTATTTAATCGTGTTGGCTTGTTACTGGCCTGGTTAGTTAGTTAGCCACTGGAAAGACCAGTTGGCCGGTCACTGTCTGGTTTACAATCACGTTGTTGACTTAATCGATCAGCTAGCTGCTTACTTGCCTGGTTAGTTGACTAACTACTGGCTTGACTGGATGGCTGGTCACTGGTCTGGTTGGCTATGACGATGTTGACTTAATTGATCAGCTAGCTGGTTACTGGCCTCAGCCTGGTTAGTTTGTTAGCTACTGGACGACCAGCTGGCCAGTCACTGGTCTGGTTGGAATCAAGCTGTTGGTTTAACTGATCAGTTCGCTGGTTAGCTACTGGCATAACCAGCGGCATATCACTGTCTGGTTGGCTTAAATTATCAGCTAGCCGGTTACCGGCTTTTTCAGTGCTGGCAGGTCATTGGCCTGCCGGTTAACCAACCTGGTCAGTTGGCTAAATACTGGTTTACTGGCTACTGAGTTTCTCGGATGGCTGGTCGCTTGCCAGCTGGTAACGGACCTGTAGGTTAGCTAGCCACCGGCGTGATCAACTTGCTGGCAACCGTCTGACCGTATCTAAATGGCTGGCCAAAGTCTAAAAACATGTATGTAAATGCTCGATGATTGCATGCTGAAGGTTGTTTAATTTGTGCATCCACATTTCACATGTTCATGACAGGGCTTTTTCCGTTGCAGTGAAGGGAACGTTCTATCCAAAATGGTGTCCAATATACCTCTGGCACCATTATTAGTCTTCCCATCCCATGATTTAAGCCTTTTTTTTAATAAGAGAACAACATCCCAACAAAACTGTTTCGATAAGTCCTAATACATTTTCAACAAGGTGCGCAAAGTGTCGTACATATTTTTTTAACGTTTTGGACGACAAGGTGCTCAAACGGTGTTTGTTTTTTTTTAAATCCCAAATTCTCCAAAAACCAGATTATAAACTTCGTGGTATTATTTGTTTGTTTTCAGGGGGTCGCAGGAGATTTCGAGATTTTTTACGATCGGAATATAGCGAAGAGAACCTGCTGTTCTGGCTCGCCTGTGAAGAGTTGGGGAAAGAGTCGAACTCGGCTGCCGTGGAGGAGAAGGCCAGGCTAATATACGAGGATTATATATCCATCCTCTCGCCAAAAGAGGTTGGTATCTAACAGTGGACAAAATGTTGTTTTGTTAGACAGTGCCGACCGTCAATATCTTGACTGGCCGGTGTTGGTGTTTGTTAGAGCTGTACGATTGTATGTGGTTGCCATTGTGCTGCTACTGCTGCTGTTGCAAGGACATGTATTGCAAACTGCTGCAAGGGTATAGCTGTCTTCACTTCTAGTGCTACTAATTAATGCTGCTGCAACTACTCCTAGCTAATGCTGCTGCTACTGCTACTGCTTCATTTAGCTGCTGCTGATGCTACTGCTGTTGCTTCTAAATACTCTTGCTGCTAGCTAGCTGCTTTTTATATATTGCTACTGTTGTGGTCCCAGCGGCTGCAGCTTTTGCTCCACCTGTCTTCCGCTGATGCTGCTGCTTCTGTTCATACTTGCTCTTGACGTCGGTTTTAGCTGCATCTTCCTGCTGCTGCTACTGCTGCATTAGGGATACTGTTGCCGCTAGTTGCTCCTGCTGTTGCTTTGGGTATACTCTTACTGCTAGTCAGCTGATGCTAACGCCAGGTAATGTTACCGTTGTTGCGCCTAGCTGCTGTTGCTGCTGCTGTGAAGTGCATTTACTTGCTCCGGCTTCCACTGCAGCGGCTAACGCTGCCCCTGAAAACTGCTGCTGCTGTTGCTGTATACCATACTCGAGCTGCAGCTCCACGCGAAACTTTGGCAAACGCACTTTGATCGTTCTTGTTCTTGGTCGTTGTTGTGCCGCATTGTTGTTATATTGTTCCTTTTGTGGACCAGTAGTTCTGTTCAATTTCCATTATTATTATTTTTTTGTTCAGGTAAGTCTAGACTCGCGCGTTCGGGAGGCCGTTAATAAGAACATGGACAACCCGACCAACCACACGTTTGATGAGGCCCAGCACCAAATCTACATCCTCATGCACCGTGACTCCTTCCCCCGCTTTCTCAACTCCAAGATGTTCCGGCGGATGCTCGAGAACGCCAGCAGGGGAGAGAAGAAGTGAGAGGGAAACCAATGGGTGGGGTGTGGGTCTGGGGCCAGACCTGCCCTCGTGACTTTATTGGTGTGATAAATTCGAAACACTAATGATGACGTACAATTGGACGTTGAACGGAGCAGTGTACCGGATACTATACATTGTGTGGACAAAATGGACGACAAGACGGTATCGGCGATTGTCTGGCATGTCTGGCTGTTGCCCTCAATAGGAAGAAACGATCAAAAACGATTAACAAAAACACCAAAAACTAATTCAACAATAACATAAACATCAATACCATCAACAAAACATTAGGATCAACTACAAGAGAAGCATTGCAACTTCATATGGAAAGAAATATCAGTAGCAACAACACAATGTCAACACAACCAAACAGCAAAGAGGACGGCATCGCACGGATATACACACCTGAGGCTTGTCACACACCGTGATAGAACATGACGTCACAGATCAGACCACGTGACCATCAGACGAACGAGATGACGACAGCAGAACGGTCCCGCGCCGCGCGTGACACCGTTGGAAAAATTGGCTGCATGGTAGAATGTGCGGCATCCACCGCGAGAGGGCGTGATCTCCGATTCTAGAGGTTTACAATCAGGTAGAATATAATGTGGTCTTCAGCAAGACAAGACGGGTGCCGTACTGATGACTTCAGTGCTGGAGGAAATGGTGTGGTGGAAAGGTACGGAAGTGAACGACGGCAGTATAGCCAATTATCTTCCTCAGGGATTTACACAAATTTACACGTCTGCGCGCTCCGCCATTTTCAAAATGGCGGTCGCGTTGACAAATAAGGAAAGAAAAATAATTGGAAGGGGGAAAAACTTGAAACCCGGTGCTTTCGTTTATAAGGCTGCTTTGATGTAATCCATGGCCAATTGAACTGGTGTAGCTGAAAACGAGGCGTGCATTACGAGAACGTGTGTGATTCAAGGGTTGTACGGTCGCTTGCCCGATGGTTTGTCTTAAAACCAAAGAGCTGTCAAATGGCCTAATTTTAGAGTAAGAAAATAGGGGTAAATTACAAGTCCTTCGCCAAACCTTTAACGCATGACAGTTAAACAGAACTTTGATTCGGGGCTCGTTTTTGCTGGGGATTTTGGAAAGCCGAACTACTCACTCGATAGAGTTTCCAATTATCTGGCTTTTCAAAGAGGATAATACAGAAGATTGTGTCGGTAAATTGTCTCGCGATTACAAAACCTAGAAATTGTCACTGAGTAAAAACAAAATCACGCTCATAACGATTTTTGGAGCCTAAATCACTAACATTCAATCTTATATCCCGGTAGAAACGATTCGAAGCCACATTAGAACTACATGTAGAAGCGGAGATAAAAGTCATGTGACGTTCTATGGTATTTCACACTGGTAACCTTTTACCATGTGAAAAAAATTCGGAAAGGATACTGATCTATACTGCCCCAATTTGTGCCTGCGGGACTACTTCGATGGTTCCCTGATAAATTTTGGAAAAGGTTGAGATTGGTATCTATAGTGAGGCCACTCGGCTGAGTTTGGTGATGGCTTAAACGATAACAGGATGAAAAGTTTGACTTGAAACATAGTGTGCCGGGTTGTTGGGCTTGTGACGTCAGAGAAAGGAATTAGAAAAAAATAAAGAGGTTAAAAACTGAAGTTAACAATTTTGTGGCCTTTTTATCAACGTGTATTCGCGCATGAAGATGGGACTCTGAACCGGTGCAAGCGACTTTTCTACACCCTTGACCAAAGTAGTTTCGTCATTATGACGTTATATAGACTACATTTTGTTTCCTCGCCACATAGGCTCAGATAGTGAGTTTTTATTACGTAACGCAACGGATGGTGACTTTTGATTTATTGTGATACGGTAAACCTATGAAAGAACACGCGCATCTGCCAAAGAACTTATATTCGTACGAAACGTATTGATGTATTATGTTTTTCGTTTTCTACCCACGAATTTTGATGTGTATTGCTTAACGATTTTACAAACGGACGGCCTGATTTGTATTGATTTTTTTGCTGTATTTTTGGTGACCGTAGTGTATTTTTAACAAAAAATAAGTCTGAATGTGAAAAAGTCTTGATGGATGACAAATTAAGTAGTGAAATGTTTTAGATTAAGATCTGGGAACTTGTCAGATTTTTTTCGGTTTTCGTCGTCATCGTGGTTTGTACTCGTACCTTTTTACAATGTCACACACCATTGTGTATGTGCACGTGTATCGTATTATAAAATAGGTGCTTTTTGAAAAGCGAGTGGTAAGTTTGGAATTTGTAAGTTACAAATTTAGCAGTGCAATTTTTTATCGTTAAAATATTGATTGAGCTGTACAGTGTGAAGAGTTTTAAGGCAAAATGTTACCTCAATTCTATGGTTCTGTCGTCGGCAGTTCGTTTGTAAATCCACACGTAGGTGTCTGGCTTACATGTTCACTTTTCTTCTTCGTCTTCAAATCTTTAAACTTTGTATTGCTTCGTAGGAAAAATACAAGAATTCTGCAAGCATTCAATCCCATTCCTTTGTTACACTCAGGGTGCCAACCATATCGTAATATAACTGTTCAGTTGGGTTTTTTTTGTCAGTGACCGAGGCGACTATAACACACTGGAACCAATAGGCACGCACACCAAATTAGACACCCCGGCCAAAGTATAAAAATTGGGACAAACTGAAATATTTGTTTAGTTGTGTATATATAACTAAACAGGCTCGTCATAAAAATAAGTTGACTAGTTGGTCAAAAAGAAAACACATTTCTCTCGATTTTAAAAGTTTGTAGCCTAAGTTTCAAAACAATGTCAGAAAAAAGAGAAAACAAACAAACACCAAAAAAATGTATATCTCAGACGCGGTCTATATTTATCTACATTGAAAAAACTGTGTAATAGCAATTGAACACTTTTCTAAACACTTTGTAAAACAGTTTGTAAACATGTTTAAATAATAAATACGTTTAGAGTAAGGATGTATATAGTGTTTGGCAATTGAATATTGATGTTTAGGAATTGACCACATAAGTGTTTAGCTTCTAAACATGTTTACAAAGTGATATCAAAATTGGGTTTCATTGCTAGACACAGTTTTTAGAATGTATATTTGGGAAACGTGTGTATCGGCGTGATACTACAAAAAGGTCGAAGTTCAACCTTACTTTGCAAAATGGCTCATCTGACGGCTCAGCTGTATCTTCTTGACATCTTTATTGCAAAAAAAATCGAGCGCCAATTTAAGATGAGTCCGAATTACCTGGCTTCGCCTACTTGCCAGCCGTAGACAATTCGGACGCGGTCTGTACGTGGAGCCCTGTGAAAAAAATATTCCAGCAGAATCTTGAATCAAAGTCAACATTTCGACCCTCAGGCCTATCTCAAGTTGTATTAAATTCGGAAATGTTATGGGGAATGGGTAGTGGCCATACGGTACCGCTCTATGATCTAAACCCTAATCTTAATCTGAAGCAAATGTCTGAAATTCAATGGATATTTTAAAAACATACTCGGTAAAGATCTTTCTTTTATTAATCTTTTAATTTTTTTTACGAATTAATAGTTGTCGAATATAACTTAATGAGGAACATAACAATCTCTTTTAACGCACGAACCAAAGATTTAAAAATGTTTCCAACGTTGTATAGGCCTAGGTGTTGCTTCTTCTGCAGGTTTGCTAGGCTACTTAGGATTTGATTTTTGAATAGAGAGATTTTTGCAATTCGCTTTGCGCCAATTTGAACCTTAACGAGAACAATTTCTTGCAGTTACGTAGAATGTAGATTTTTCTCAATTAGGTCTCAAATTTTCTCAATTGTCGAAGAAGGCTTTCTCATTTTTGAACAGATTTCATGTGTAACAGTCATTTAGAAAAAAAATACCTGTTTTCCAGTTAGAGCGATAACAGAGTGAAAATCATATGGAGAAGTGAAAAAGAACTGTTTTGTATAGTAGCACAGCCTGGATTTTAACCCTTACAGAGCAAGTGCGAAATTCCCTCATTTTCCCGACATCACCACAACTTTTTCGGCTGATATATTTTGCGCATGTCTTGAGACCAAGTTTATAAAAAAAAATGGGGGTACCGTCTGCGCAATACAGGGTGAGTCAAAAAAAGCGGAACCCAAACCCCCAAAAATATATTTTATATTTAAACAAATATGTAGCGCCGAAAAAAATAATGACAGGAAAGCCAATTTCATAAGCTACTTTTAGATGAAAAAAATTACTGAAATTTCTCAATCCGTTCAAAGAATATCACCATTTAAACGCAATGACCCTAAAACCTGTCTCGTCCAAAAAAAGAGCAATTTATTGTGTGTTTTGACTGTTTGGAACAACAAAGAAAATACACATAATACTTGTTTCAACAACTGTCAACAACCGTAGTACACAATATCTTTATAAACACCCTGGTTAAGCAAACAATATGATTTATAAAATCCACTTCTTCTTTTTAAAGACGGGCCTTCAAAAGGACTTTGTTGAATATTTTTAACTTTTAAACTGAGGTTTTATCGCTGGTGATGTTTGAAGACAATAAATTATGACGACGATTCTTGAAATCGCATTTTTGGACGAATTAGGTTTTAGGGTCATTGTGTTTAAATGGTGATATTCTTTGAGTGGATTGAGCAATTGCATTTTTTTTCACCTGAAAGTAACTTATGAAATTGGCTTTCCAGTCATTATTATGTTTGGTGCTACATATTTTTTAAAAAATATGAAATATAATGTTGGGGGTTTGGGTTCCGCTTGCTGTGACTAACCCTGTATCAAATGTTCGGATGGAGGATGGCGCGAAATGTGAACTTTTATATTGATCGATCACAAGCAAGAGCGCTTTTATTATTATAGACCATTGTGTACAATATAAATCACAATAATTTATCAAAACCCTCAGCAAATTGACTGAAACATTGCACAAAAACTAAGTATGACACTCGCTGGATGCGTATTAAATTTAAACAAAATCTGTCGAGGCAGCCGAGATAGATATTGGTTGGAATTCGCTTCAAAAGGCAAACAAAATCTTGCTCTTGAAGGATTAAAAACCGCCACAGTTGCACAAACGCATAACTTGTATAATTTTGTTCCGATGTGAGTTCAGACGTAAAGGTCCAAACAAGTGAAACCTGGTGTCATATTAAATGTGGACTCCTGTGAAATCTGGTCTGTTTTACCTTATATGGATCATAACACTCACTGTCTCGTGAATTGCCACTGTTCCCATTGTGTCCACTGAGGCATGCGCAACCAATGAGTCCATATTTCATAAGAGTCCAAATTTCACACTTCACCGGTAATTTGGGATATGCCATGATGGCATTTTCCCCCACGTAATTCAGAGGCTGTTGTTGCTGGGCATTTGCGAGAAAAGGTTGACCCAAGGAAAGGAAAGAGTTTGACCAAAATGTGCCACTGTGGTGTGTATTGGTATACGGTTTGCTCTTTGCGCTAAAAAAAAAAATAATAAACATTTTAGATTCGTCATTCTGGTTACTACACAATGACTGACAAACCAGCGGCACGGCGACATTGCTTTGTCGGGCCTTCGTTTTTGTAGTATAATAGATGTCAGTGACCTCTGTTCCTTGTCGTTGTTTTACATCACCAACATAAACTGAGTATGCTAAACAAATAAAAAGGGACCAAGTAAGATCTAATGTAATAGAGGAAACTGTATTATTAGCATTGAATTTTATTAATTGTTATTTTCTTCCCGATTTCAGATCAAACTATTCGTTTTTACGTCTTGCTGCAGTTTTGAAGCACTTCAACCGTGTGTACATACATGTAATGTACGGAAGAAATAGTTTATGGTGTAGATATGTTTTCATTTTTTTGATGATATCTATTTGTAATCGTGTCGACATGGGGTGATGATTGAGGGATATTATTTTGTTACAGAAATTTAAGAATACCCAGGATGACTTTATACTTATACGTTTATGTCTGACCGTAATTTGCACCCTGGATTGCACAGTTTGGTATACTGATTGGCAGAATCCCCCAAATGCCAATGCTTAGACGAGATTATGACTTGTGCAGTTTTATCATGCAAGGATCTGTGCATTCGTTTTGATATGGTGTGAAATCTCGTGTACTTTGGCCAACTGGGAAATCAAATTTCTGCGTCATTTTGTATGCTAAAGTTTAAGCCAGTTATCGTATTATCAGG